TAGAGAGTGGCAAAAAGCCATTGATTTCCTCAGGTTACTAAGCTAGAAATAAGACGTTCCAATACCTTCAAGTCTTTGCCTTAGTTTACAAGGTGTTTGCTCTTTTGTTGAGCCTTCTGCCCTCTCCCCACCAGCCTGCCCTTATAATCAGGAACAGGAAGATGCCTTTAATTACCAACGGGAATTCTACACTCCCCTAGCCCCAGGCATCCAAAGTAAGACAAAATTGCCTCTGATTCCAGAATGTGTTGAAGCCTATAAACTAAGGGATAAAAAGTTAGGCAGATAGAAGGAGCTCAAGAGTCTTCTAAAATGATAACCAGTGTTACACTAAGCTAGGCCAAAATGGGGGGTCTGCATGGATCCTTAGAATCAATGGGGAAACCAGTCTGCCAACAACTGAACTTATTAAGTATTTCTGACTTTTTCAGTACATCTGTCCTTCGCCATCCACTAGCAGGGCAATTGATTCATAGGCATTCTTCTAAAGAAGATATATTTACAAAGCCACCACATGTGAGAATTTCTATGCTAACAACTTGAATGGATGGATGACTGTGGCCTGGTATTCAGTCTTGCACTGCTGCCTGATGCTACGTCCTGGACTGGCCACTCTAGAGGTACCAGAGTGGGACTGTGTGGGTCAAGAAGACTATATGAAGCCATCTCTGCCTATGGCTTAATTGGGGAAGCAAGCAGGAAGCAACGCTGAGAGGCTGTGTGTAAAGACTACACTAGATCTTTGGGTATGGAGGCAAGCTCTGGGGACCAGGGTGAAGGAGACAGAGGAGAAGGGTACCTTTTCTTGAAGGGATAGGAGGGACAAACTTCTTCAGCCAAGCATAGTGAAAGACAGGCTGATAGAGGGGGTGCTTTCTAGTCTCTGAGGAGAAAAAGTGGAAGAACCTAGGAAAAGCTGCTGACAGTCCCAGCCCCGAGTAGGTTGCCTTTAAGAGTCAGTGCTCTGTGGGTTTAGAAATGAACTTTCCAGCCTACACACCTCATCTTGGCTGCTGTGTGACAAGAGCTTCCAGCCTTTTACCTACTAAAGAAGTGAAGTCTGCTAGCCAGAGGAAGAATAAAATTGAGAATTTATTTTAAAGAAATAACTTGTGTTATCTTGGGCCATAATCATGGCCCTTAGGGGTGACTAAGGGCAACCCACTAACTGTTAACAGCATTAAACTGGGCCTGGGCCACCAATCCCCAGAGAACCTGATGGAGATGCCTCTATAGCCAAAAGGTAGGTACGAGATCAATGCAGTATCCTTGCTCCAGGTGGTCACACCTGCAAGGAAGAGGAAAACCTGCATGAAATCATGGGCACCTTATTAGGACAAGGGCAGATGTGTAACAGCTTCTAAATTTCATACTAGGAAAGAGACCCAGGAAGTGTAGCAATTTCAAAACTCCACTGTTACACAAGAGATCCCAGCCTTTGCTATCTCTGGGCTCCAGGTTCTAAAACATAGGACTACAGCCTCTTTCCCCTATCCCAGATGAGTTCCAAAACACTGATGGTTTACTTAGGAAACCAGTCTGGGCCTAAAAACCAAATCCCTCAATGAAATGAGGAAAACACATGAATGAGGCCCGGCCATGGCCAAGTGGTCAAGGATAGGCTCTCTTTAAACAATAATAACAACAACAAAACAAACTCCAATACATCATAGCAAACTGGACAGTGAAGGGGGTCATTCAAACCTATCATTTCAGTGCCTCTGTCTGGGGGAGTTTCTTGGCACAGATGTTTCTGAGGTAGGCAGACCTTTGGGAATATATCCATCAGTGTGTTGGAGCTCATTCTAAGGACGTGGGCATGCTGCTCCTCTGTCCCAAGGAGATATGTTTTTAAAAAAGCCATTTAGAAGCAAATTTGAGAGGCCTTGGAGGCATTTCTACCCAGAGTATTGAAGGGACTAGTGAAACAGAGACAATTTTGTCCAAAGCCAGCACTGGATTACTGTCTAAGACTTGGATCAGGTGATTCAAAGAAGGATCTTCTGCTTGCCTTCTTCCGATAGCTACCTATCCACTTTAAGCATTCTTGGCTACTTCTGATTGGGGAGGAAAAGTAGGAGGGAGAGAAAATTTCCTGAGGAGTGGGGTAAGCCCAGAAGGAGGTTTCTCGGAACTGAACTAATGAATAACCCTAGTTCCCAGGAAGAGCCTTGCTAGGAGGAAATCTTCATTGTCAGACCTTGTTGCCCTGGTTTCTGCCGTGGAAGGCCACAGAAGCCATGTACACAAGAAGATGAGTATGGTATGTTGAGTAGACAGCCTGCTATTTTGATGCAAACACAAGAAGCCAATGTTTAATATCAGCCAGGGTACATTTTAGTCACAAAGCCCCTTGATTATACCTGAAAATTGTCCCCATCAGGGCAGGATGGCTATGGGGACATTATGGATGGGGCAAACACAGCAAGATCAGGTTATTTTCTCCAGCTGGTCTCACTCCCATATTTTAAAAGACATTATTGCCCGCCAACGGTAGCCACATTCATTTAAAAAATGCTGAAAAGCCATCTAAGAAATTCAGGGGGGACAAATTTATTATTCTGTTCTTCCTTTCCCTGCTCTGGGAAGAAGAAATATTTCCCTCAGGCTGGGAAGACCAACCAGTATGAGATGACATGAGCTGACAGGGAAACCAGACTTCATTCTATTTGGACAGGGCAGGAGCTCAGGGGACAATTCTGAGGGCTCCTCAAGGTGGGGCAATAGTCCCTTCAGTTGGATGGAAAAGGCTGGGAATCCCATTGTTCCTGTTGGTCCTCAATGATTCCCTCTCTTTGGGAACATCTGCAGTTCATGTGGATGGGAATCGTGAGTGTGGAGAGAAAGAGCTGTATTAGGTTGCTGGGTGGATTTCCCGCTGAGATCAGGGCAGCAGCATATGGCTCCAAGATGCAACTTGACCCTGGGAAAGAATTCTCAGGAGCTTCATGCAAGGCAATACAGTTTAGTGGGAAAAGGCCCCGGAATAAGAGCCAAAAGATGTGGGTTCTAATCCTAGCCCTGCCCCTAGCCAGCTGTGTGACCTTGGGGAAATTACTTTACTTCTGCGTCTCCGTTTCCTGGCCTGAAAAATGAGGAATTTGGAATAGATGATGTGACCTTAAGGTTCCTTCCAGCTTGAAAACTCTATGATTCAATCTAGGCTAATACTAAAGTCCATAAGGACACAAAGCAGTCATGCTAATGGCTATCCTTTCCAAAACAGTGAGAGAAAAAAACTTTTCTCTCAATTTACCCCTAGTTAACACTACTTATGGAGTTGTTCAGCCCAGCCCTCATATATACATTTTCCCCTTCTTTGTCCCTATTTCTATTTCTGTAGGGGAGAAAAATCAGGAGGTAGGAATAAGCAACAGATGAATCGTGCGTGTGTTTGTGTGTGTATGGAAGAGGGATGGAGAAGTGGGGGGTGGGGGGTGGCAAATGCTTGCTGAATGACTGGATGTTTGCTGACCATGCAGAAGGTAACACAATGGGGCTTCAGTGGTAAAACTGGATTGGGTAAAACTGGGAATGGTTGACAGGAGTGAAGGAGTTCAGTTACAAAAAACAAAACAAACAAACAAAAAAAAACTCAGCCTTAAAAATGGACCCCTTTAAAATGCAATTATTGGAGGCTTAAATTTTGAACTATGCCAAGACACCCTGAAGTGGCACTACAGAAACATTTCCTAATAATTGATTAAAAGAAAGATGGAAAATCTACTATTATCGTAGAAGACAGTTGGTTCAGAGATCACTCTAAAGAAATATATCTGTTGCCTATTTTCTAGTGGTACGAATGCCACAGCAATGTAATGCTCAGAGAGCTAGCATGGAGCCTGGGCATGAGGAAACCTAGATTACTCCTCTGCTCCTGCTCTTTACAAGCTTGTCATTTAGCTGCCAGGAGCCTCCATTTTCTCAACTTAAAAAGAAGGTATTGGACTAAATAATCTCTTGCCAGGAGATATGGAGAGAAACCATGTGTGGGGCCTTTAGGGGTCTGGCCTAAAGTTTAGAAACAGGCCTCCCACTCTCTACTCCCACCTCCCAATCCCAAGTACCAATTTTTCCCAATAACTACAGACTGTTCTGGGAAGCAACAAAAAAATCCCGAGCTTCTAGAAATAAAGGAGGAGGGCAAAAAGATACCCTCATAATTTTGGGTTCTTCAAAGATCAGTTTAACCAGAAACCAGTACTACCAGCCTCTGGACTTTTCCTGAACCAAAAATGTTTCTGGTAGCTAAAGACATGTGAAGCTTGTCTCAGGGCATCTGAGCTCCCCCTTCCACCACTGGGTTCCCCCTACACAGTGCATGTCAGCAATGCCACCAAGCTGCCATGAATCCATATCAGGGTATCCTGTAGTATCTCCTAATTATGAAGCAGCTGCAGACCACCCCCCTGCCACACACATACACACAGCAAGCTCATTCCAGTTAGAATGGGGGAACGACTGGAAGTCATTCAGTAGCCAAACAGCAGCTTGGCTTCAAATGTTGTACCTTTCAAAATATTTGAACAATTACAAGCAAATAAGGAAATCTTCATATCTGCTAAGAGCAAACACAGAATTGGCATGCATGGCTTTCACTTAAATTTTAGTTATCTTTGCCTTTATGGGCAACGCTTACAGACAAAAAGCAGTGCTATGAACCTGTACCTCAAAGACTGAGTACTACTTCAAATGATCAGTCCTTAGCAAAGAGAAATCCTCTGCTAGTGTTAAAAAACAAGTGAAAGTTTTCTGTGTCTTCAGTATGAAATATCAGGATTATAGATAAAAAAGAGTTGCTTAAAATATGCCATAACATTTCATTTAAAATATAATTAGAATGTCTGGTCCACACTTAAGTTATTAATGTAAGTGTAACTGTTAAAAAGCTATCAAAAGACTGATTCTATTGAATTGGCCTCTGCTAGTCATTTTTGTATTCTCCTGGAGGTTTGTTTGGCAGTGACAGCATGATTTCTAAACTACATTATTCTTCTGCATTTTTTTTTTTTGGTAAATTTTCTGCATGTGTTTTTTAGACAAAAGAAAAGTCACCAGTTTATAAAAAAGGAGCCTGAAGAGTTTGCTCCTGAAATACAGACACGAGATTTTATAAAAAGGATATTGGTTTTTGGCTATAAAAAGCGACCAAAAGGTGTCAGACCTGAAAACAAATTCTCACAGTGTTTTCAGTGTTGGCTGTTTACAAGGCATTCAATAGAACAGAGATAGATGGATACCATACAGTTCGTATAATAACTTGGTATGTTAGCCTCCTAGAGGAATCGGGTATATGAAGTTCCTCACCTCCAACACATATCAATTGCTTATTGATTCCAAATTGCCCCAGTGGAAAGGTTGACAAGGAATTCACTGTGTTTTATATATCTACTGAAATGTCTGCAGTATTTTCCAATTCCGCCTAGTCTCTTTTAGTTAGCCCTACACTGGGGTCCTAAGCATCTGGTGTCAGAATTACAAGTTGCTGGTGTTTCTTCCCCATGACAGCAAGAATTGGTGCTAGACAACCCACCAGGGGCTCAAGCAGGAGTGAAGAGCAAGGCTGGGGAGCTGCTTGCCATACTTCCAGGATCCTCCAGCATTCTTGAGATCGGGAGACAAGGGGCACTTGTGTTTGTCACTCTTGGATCCACCAATGAGGTTTCTTTTCCCCCTACACGCACATTTTAAGTGCTATGTATGTAAACAACCCTCTACAGAAGGAAGACTGTAGCATATGAGTGAAGTGAAACGGGAAAATAACGCAGGTACCTAAGCATTCAATAGAAAGGTCATGGACTGGCACATTTTGCATCCCTGGAAAGTTACCCCAAAGGATGGTTATCAATCTATCTCTCGTAATTGGTAACTGTGGATCAGTGGCCCAGAGGAGAAATCACAGGAAAATAAATCCAACATATTACAGAGTGTTTTTCAAAATAACAGCAACAACAACAACAAATAAAAACTTGAAAGCACCAATAGCCTTGTTGGACACTTGAGCAGAAGTACTCTACTGTAACGGTAAGATTGGATTTGTACTCTGGACTCTGAATACTGTCTTCCCCTTCACATGGAATCTCCAAGTGAATCAGAGTCATCCAAGGACAGAGGCAGGTACAGGTCCTGTAAGAAGAGAAGAAAAAAAGTTAACTTTCCCTTTCTTGACATCTTGGGCTCTGGAATGGGCAATATCATCTGGCTGTTTTTGTTTTCTTAAATTAATATTTTTTTCTGATTTTTATTTTGAAATAACTATATATTCATAGGAAGTTTAAAAAATGAACAGGGAGGCCCCCTGTGCCCTTCAACCAGTTTTTCCCACTAGTAACATAATTTACATGCACTTGTGTGTGTATACCATATTTTTACACAAATAACACCTGTTATACGTTTTTTGTCAACCATGCACTTCCACCTCGAGGTATTTTTTTAAGTGCACTATGCTAATTATTTTACAGTAACCTGTAAAAAAATTAGCCTAGTACTTTATGAAAATACCTCGCAGGGGAAGGGCGTGGTTGGGCAAAAATAAAAAAGTATAACAGGTGTTATTTGCCTAAAAATATGGTAGTTCAATGCAATTTTATCACGTGTATATTCATGTGACTGCTACCACACTCAAGATACAAAACTATACCCTTACCAAAGGGCTCTCTCATACTACCTCTTTATAGCTACACATACCCCTTACCCCCACCCCTAAGCCCTGGAAACCACTAATCTGTTCCCCATCTTTGCAATTTTATCATTTCAAGAATGTTATTTAACTGGAATCACACAGTATGTAAGCTTTTGGGATGTAACCTTTTTCATTCAGCATAATTTCCTTGAGATTAATCCAAGTTTTTGCATGTTCATTCCTCTTTATTGCTGAGTAGTATTCCAGGGTATGGATTACTACAGTTTCTTTAGCCACTTACCAGTTGAAGGGCGTCTGGTCTGTTTCTAGTTTGGGGCTATTACAAACAGGGATGCTATGAACGTTTGTATTCAGGTTTTTGTGTGAACATGAATTTCCATTTCCCTGGAACAAATGCCCAGGAGTATAATTGCTGGGGTGTACGGTAGTTGCATGTTTTCCAGAGTGACTGTACCATTTTGCATTCCCATCAGCAATGTATGTGTGAACCAGTTCTCCACATCCTTGTCAGCATTTGCTGTTATGACTTTTTTTTTTTTTAGCCATTCTGATAGGTTGTGTATCTCATTATGGTTTTCATTTGCATTTCCCTAATGACTAATGATCTTTTCATGTGCTTATTTGCCATCTGTATATCTTCTCTGGTAAAGTGTCTGTTCAAGATTTTTGCCCATTTTCTGTTTGTATTGCTTTTTTTTACTGTTGAGTTTTGAGTTATTTTTATTTTATATTCTCTATATAAGTTCTTTGTTAGATACATGGTTTGCAAATATTTTCTTCCAGTCTGTAGCTGTCTTTTCATACCCTTCACATGGTCTTTCACAGAGCAAAAGTTTTTAATTTTGATGATATCCAATTTGTCCAATTTATCAATTTTTCCTTTTATGAATCCTGCTTTTGGTGTCAAGTCTAAAAACTTTTTACTTAGCTCTAGAACTGAAGATTTTCTCCTATATTTGTTTTCTATGTTTTATAGTTTTGTACTTTACATTTAAGCCTATGATCCATTTTGAATTAATTATTACATAAAGTATAAAGTTTAGATCGAGGTTTGTTTTTTTTTTTTTTGGCCTATCTGTCCAATTACTCCAGGACCACTTGTTGAAAAGGTTATCCTTCCTCCATTAACTGCACCTTTGTCAAAAAACATTTATGCCTATATGTGTAGGTCTGTATCAGGCTTCCAGAGATCTGCATGCTGAACAAATGGCTAATCCAGAAAAATGTACCACATCTATTTCCAACTGATTTCTTGATGCTTCCATTTCCCACTTTGAATTGGGATTGACAGCTTCAACACAGCACCAACCCTTATCTGTGTCTCTAGGAGATAGGAGGATGGGTTTTACCCATTGTTACTAGAGCTCTATTTAGAGATTCTTGTGATTCCTCTTGGACTCTATCCATGGTCCACATCAGTGGTTTTCAAATCTCTCTCTCTCTTTTATTTTCTCCTTTTAAACCCTCTATTTAAATGTTATCTTTCTTGGAAAGCCAATGCATGAAATAGATTAAAGTAGAGTTGTTCTAGTTGAACCAGAGGTGGGTGAGTCAGAGTCTCACCCAGCTTTGTCTTTCTCACCATCCCCAAATGGAGCACAGTTTGAAAAACACTGTTTTCATTCATGTTATAAGCAAGATGGAGGAGCCCTGGTGGTGCAATGGTTAAGCACTCAGCTGCTAACCGAAAGGTTGGCAGTTCATGCCCACTAGCGGCTCTATGGGAGAAAATACTTGGCAATCTGTCCCCATAAACATTACAGCCTAGGAAACCCTACGTGGCAGTTGTACTCTGTCATAGAGGGTTGCTATGAGTCGGAATCGTCTCGACGGCACACAACAACAACAGCAACATATGCGAGATACCAGAGAGAAGTGGAAAATTTAGGTTCAATTCTGTGGCTATTTAAGAGACCCCCTTTGATATAATGGAAGCAGTTCAGTAGAAGATTATCCAAGACAATTGGAGAACATAGCTTCTCCTTGAAGAAGATGAAAACATGGAGATGAGTAAGAGGGAGAAGAGTAGGGAGGAGAGGGACTTATTTATCTAACATCGAGAATGATTTTGTTGCTGTTAAAGGACAGAAAAACATTTAGGCAACTTAGAATGGAAAGAGGAGTCAACTGGATTCAGAAACCTGAAGTTTTAGTCCTGGCTAATTAGTACTATGACATTGAATAAGTATATGAGTATTGGTTTCCTCATCAATAAAATAAAGGCTTTGGAGATTTTGTTGCTGTTAAAGGGCAGAAAAACATTTAGGCAACTTAAAATGGAAAGAGGAGTCAACTGGATTCAGAAACCTGAGGTTTTAGTCCTGGCTAATTAGTAGTGTGACATTGAATAAGTATATGAGTATTGGTTTCCTCATCAATAAAATAGAGGCTTTGGACTGGACAATCTGTAAAGTCTCTTCCAGTTCTGAAACTGTAATTAGGGACTCTCAGGAATGTGTAATGATTTAAAAAAAAAAAAACACAACAAATGCAACTATAGCAAATAAACTCACTTCTCGCCAACCCATCATCCCTTCACTGTAAATTGGGGTTTGGCAAACTTTTTCTGGAAGGGGCCAGATGGTAAATATTTTAGGCTTTCTTTGCTAGTCATATATGGTCTCTGTTGCATATTCTTTTGTTTGTTTGGGTTTTGTTTCTTTTATAACTCTTTAGAGATGTAAAAACTATTCTTTGATCAGGGGTCATCCACAGACAGACAGGATTTTGCACCTCTGGTCTAAACTACCAAACAAAGCTTTCTTAGAAAACTGAAAAAGGTAGGAATTACAATGCTGAGAAAACAATAGGTGTACAATAAATGCTTATAAAATTGAACTGAGGTAAAGTGGAGTTGCATCTCTGAAGGGATTTAGTTCTCAAGTCCTTGAGTAACGTGAAAATTGAACACAGTCAAAAACATCTTCCAAGTCTGGACTTCCAGAACGGTGGAGTAAGAACCTCTGAAAATTGGCTCTTCCTTAAAAGCAATGATAACACTGGCAAAAATTGTCAAAAATCAACTTTTCCAGCACTCTGGAAATTAATCAAGGGCTTCTAACAATCCAAGAAGGGTTTATTTATGAAAAATGGCTGAATTCTGTAAGAATACCAAGCTTTATAAACTTGCCCTATTTCCATCCCTTTCTCACTAGCTCTGTAATAACTTTGAAAACCAACAGTCTCACAACTACTGTAGCCGTAAAAAATAGCAAACTATCAGCCACTGGAGGGTGCAGAATGGGTTGGGAGCTCCATTCCAAATGCCCCATTCCCATAGAATTGTCACTTTTTGACCTGTCTGGTAACTCCCTGTACACTCATTCACAGGACTCTTCTCTGTCTGAACTGACTCAGAGCATACTAATTGTGAACAGTCTTTTCCAGGGGGCATTTTTAAGGAAATGATCAGTGGCAAATATTTAAAATCATAGGTGCCTAATGTAGACGTAACAGTTGGGCAAATGAGGTTACCCAAAACCTTAAAAGGAAAAGCTGGGGAATGAGACGGTCATCCAAAAACCAAAACCCACTGCCATCGAGTTGATTCCAACTCATAGCAACCCTATAGGACAGAGTAGAACTGCCCCATAGGATTTCCAAGGCTGTAAATCTATATGGAAGCAGACTGCCACATCTTTCTCCTGCAGAGCAGCTGGTGGGTTCAAACCGCTGACCTTTTGGTTAGCACCCAAGTGCTTTAACTACTGCACCACCAGGGCTCCAGCAGAATCTAGAAGATGCATGTTCCAGAGAATCTAGAAGATGAGATGCATGTTCAGGGTTGTGTGCATGACTAGAAATGACCTGAGAAGGCCCTAATCTCTCATCTGTGGCTGACCTTGAGACCATGCTCAATCAGGAAGTGAAGTGTAAGTTAGAGCTATAAACTGCCTGCAGAGCATTGACATCATGCCACTTGGCAAAGGCTGGGAGACTTACTGGGTCAAAGCGTTAAAGGAAATCCAGCAAAACTGTCCTTCAAAAAATGAAAGAGCAATGAAGACATTCCCAGATAAACAGAGACTGAGAGAATTTGCTACCAGCAGACCTGCCTACAAGCAATAATACTAAAGGGAATACTTCAGGCTTAAATGAAGGGACACTGAATAGTATATATACTATAATAGTATGTATAAAGAAATAAAGAACAACAGTAAAGGTAAATACATAGGTAAATACAAAAGACAGTACACGATTATTTTCATAACTCTTTTCTTTTAGTATGTAATTTAAAAGGCAACTGCATGAGCTACTAATTATAAAACTGTTGATGGGCTTATTATGTATAAAGATGTAATTTTTATGTAAATAAGAGCACAAAGGAGGGGATAAGGAACAGAGCTATACTGCAGCAGAGTTTTTGCATAAAATTAAATTAACTTGGTATTAATTCAAAGCAGATTGTATTAAGACGTTAATTGTAATCCCCAGGGCAACCACTAAGAAAATAACTTTAAAAATTAGTTTAAAAAAATTAGAA